CCCCAAAAAAAAGTAATGCGCTTAGTGGAATTTTTTCGATGTTGCTGCCCCCCACATCTTTTTTTACAAACTTTTTGGGACCCGTTCCGGTAAGTACTGAATTCCCAAATTTTTTTTTTTTCCCTTTTTTACCTTCCCCCAAAAAATGCTCTTTAAATTTTGTAAGAAAAAATAAATTTTTTTTTTTTTCAAAAAATTTTTTTGGAAAACTGGAGCACCACTTCAGATTTTGGCCTTGGACCCTGAAGGGGTTAAAAACCTTTTAGGGGCCCTTCCCCTAATTTACGGCTTTGGGCGGTGAAAAGTCCAAACCGGTTTGATCTACCCCCAAAATTCTAGCCCGTCAAATTTAGCGAGAAAACGCTTTATAGGCCTAAATGTGAGAGAATGGGTCCCGCGCCCTGGGTGTGCCCCCGTAAACAAAAAAAACTAGGCGGGTGCATAGCATTTGTGGAACGCCGCCTCAGTCCCCTTGTTTTAACCTTTCCTCGCGCCCCAAAATCAGCTCTCACTCCCCGGAAAATTGGGACTCTCCCTTTTTCCTGTCTGATAGTTCTGCACTGATGGAAAATGGAAAAGGGGGGGCGAATTCTACGGCTTTGATAAGTTTTGTGACCGAAAATAATGACCAGGGTAAACGATATTTGGTGCAGAAAAACCCCGCGAACCTCGACCTTACCCCCTTCTACCTTTGTGGGCACTCGGACTCCCGGTCGGGTGTTCCTAAAAAATAAAGAAAACAAAATTTTTTCCCCTGGCCTGGCCCCCTGACTTCGTAATGACGATGATTTTGACGTTGGGTTGTGATTTTATTCGCTCCCACGATCATTTGAGTAGTGAAAGTGAGGAAACATATTCACCAGTGAAACTTTGGAAAGTTTTGCCGCCCGCCCCCCCCCCCCTCCCCCTTGGGTTTTGTACCCCATGCTGTGCCCCCCGGGGGCAGAAACATCCCCTGGCCCCACACCCATTTTAGGTATGTTTTGTGAGGATTATGTGCTACACTTTGGGATGGGTGGGGGGCCCCAGACATCAGTGGGTTTGGTTTTTATTGGGGGTGGTGGTGGTTAAATGGCAAACCCCCATGCGTGGCTCGCTGTGCCAGCGGGGGGCCCACGGGTGCTGACTCGTCAGTTTTCCCAAAGGAAAAAAGCGGAGGGCAGCCCCCCCAGCCCGCCACAAAACCCCCCCCACAACCCGCCATGATGTCCATTAAACCACCAGCAAACCGTATTTGGGGTTGGGGAGCAAAATCCCCCTTTTTTTCCCCTCCTCACCCCCCTTTGATGACCTCAAAGTGGAATTCTTTCCTACCTGTCCCCTTGGAACCACGGGCCCAAAGAACTGGAATTCTTTGACCACCATTGATGGAAATTATTGTCAGGGAAAGTAATAAGTATTTTCAGTAAAACCATGGCAAAACTATCTTAAACACCCACAGTCAAAACTCACAGGTGGAAAGAGACACTGTTGCAGAAAAGATTTTCTTTTTGCAACAATAATGCTTATTCCCCACGGGCTTAAGCATAATATAAAAGCATACTGGTTTCCCCAAAACCAAAAATTTTTACCCCCCTCCTTCAGTGAAAAAATACCAGTGAACAGGTTTATCCCTTTCTGTTACGTATGTTTCACTTCCCCCGGGCAAAACCAGGCCTGACAGAAGTGAAGGTTATACCCAAAATTAAAATGTTTTCATGTATCTCAAACAAAAGTTCAGGTTATACTTTTTTCCAATTTAAGAATCTTTTAATTGAAAGAGTCTTTGATTTTTTTCAAAGGTTTGGGCTGTCATTCAAGCAGTATTTTTACCGGGGCAAGGGGGAAACCCCTTTGGTTTTAAAATTGTTTGTACTTCCCGTGATTTGGCGGTGGCCTGGTTTTGGGTATTGTTGTATACAAAGGGTAGTAAAGCAATTTAAAGATACCAAGATGTTTTGGGGATAAAAGGTGGGCGTAGTGAAAACAGATGGCACCCTTTTTCTTGGTAAGGGGCCCTACATTATAACTGAAACTGGGGACCAAACCCATTACTCAGTGGGTTTCATGCGATCGTAGTGAACAATGGGCATCATGGCATTACGGTGGCCCCCTGACAACGAGATGTCCCATTGTTGACAAAACCCTTCAACGTTTAATTTAAAAAAGCCCAAAACAGGGGGCAAAGTTGATCGAGGAAATAAGAACCCTAATTTGAAAACCCCGTGACAGTGGGTTGATTATAACAAAACATTTCCCCCTTGGGTTTACAAGGTGCATGCAGATTGGTTTTTTTTGACTGTGTTCGTAAAAGTTACAAGTGGGGACATGAAACTTTTTTTTTCCCTCTCATGGACATTTTAATGCTGAAAGCATAAAATATGCCAAATTTAAAAACTGGTAACAGACCACCGTATGGTGAATTTTGTTTTTTCTGTTGTCAGGGCAACTCATTAAAGAAGTACCCTTAAAAAAACACCCGCAATTTCAAAATGGTCCTCGAATTCATCACAAAATACCCAAGCGTTTTTAAAGGGGAGAAGGGGGTCATTTTATAATAAGCTTCCTTCAAAAACCCAAAAAAAATTTGCCCCAAAGGATGCTTGTCGGACAAACAAAACGACGGCAACCAAACGCAAAGACACCGGTTTTGTTTTTGAGGGAAAGTAAGGTGCCCCCTGTGCATGGTCCCTTTTTTTAAAGGGGTTCCCAAGCCCCCAGCGTTCTAAAACCCTGTCCCGTGATTGTAAATATGTAAAAAATAAGATTTGAAAAATTAGTATTTATACAAAATTTTTGCATGTTTTTTGTAAAAAAAAACAGTGGAAAACAATATATGATAATTTAAATTTTTGTGCGGTTTTTTTGTTTTTCAATTTCAGTGAGAAAATATATTCAAATTTTATACGTTTGGTCTCTCAGGGCCCCCAAAAGTTAGTAGGAAAAAAGAAAAAAAAATTTGGGAAAAAAAAGAAAAAAAAAACTTTAAAAAAACAAAATAATATAATCCCCGTATGTTTGGGAAATTTGTCGATGTTTCCCCCACCACATCCCTTTTCTACAAAAATTCTTGGCACTGTATCTCGTTAATACTGACAGATTAATTTTTTTTTTTTTTATTACCTTCACAAAATATGCTCCCTTTTAAATTTTTGTAAGGAAAAAAAAAATTTTTTTTTTTTTTAAAATTTTTTGGAAAACTTGTGCGTGCTACAGATTTTGGCCTTGGACCCTGAAAAGGGGTTAAAAAAAAAAAAACATTTTTTTTCTTATGAAATGGTTTGAGAATTTTTTTTTCTGAAGGTAAAAAACCAAAAAAATAAAGAAATTTGATTTGGAAAAAATGACGAAATTATGCTCTCGGGAAATTTTTTATGTGTCTGCGATATTTTAAAGAATCAGCAATTTTGCCCGAATCAAGCGATTTTGCCAAATTTGACTCCCCTTTTAGGCCCAAATTTCATTATTCCATTGACCAAAATTCCCTTTAAAAGTTTTTACTATTTTTCCTTCTAATTTTATCGATTTTTGCATAATAAATTTTCCCCGTCAACCCTTTAAACTACAAAAAAAAGTGTCGGGGAAAATTGGGTTTTTTTTGGGCCCAAATTTTAAAACAAATTTTAAAATATTCCAATTTCAAAATAGGGGTTTAGAATAAACAATGTAGGTTTTTTCCCGGCACTAAACTAACATTTTCCCCTGTTTTATTAGTTACGTTTTTTAGGGTTTACAAATGAATTCCATTTTGATTTTTTTTGTTTAAAAAATTAAATTTTTAAATTTAAAAACCCAAAAAAAAAAAGATTTTCATTTTTTTTCATTTTTGTTAAATAAAATTTTATAAATATTTATCACCACATTTGTGAATGTTTTATTAACCCCCCGCTGGCGTTTTATTGACGTGGTTTAGGTTGTTTTTTTATCTTGGAACATCTGCAAAATTAACATTTCTGCTACTTTTAGCTCAGTTCAAGCCATTTCCAGTGCTAAAACCAATCAAAATAAACTCTGTTTTTTGTTAAAAACATCTTCCCCTTCTATCAAATGAACCAAGAAATCCAAATACAACAATTTAAAAACAAAAAAAAAACACTGCAAAATCGCTGTTTTAAAAACGAAAATCACAGTTTATTTTTTTTTTTTTCTCATTATACACTGTGTGCCCGCAGGATTTGCCCTTTTTTTGGTGCACACCCTCCCCCATAGTATATTCTCTCATATCAGGTCCCAAAATTTTCCCTCACAGCTTTTCAGGGGTTAGCTGACCTCATGGGGTAGATCTACGTTTTGGGCCCTGAACTAAAGCCCTAGATTTATGGCCGGACCCCGAAAAGGGGTTTAAAAATATCCATACTTTTTCAAATTTCCAATACATACACAGAACAAAAACACACAAATATAAACTCTCCACTCCAACTTTCCTCACAAGCCCAAACAGGACCCATGACCCCCAACACAAGGGCACAAATCTCTTTTTTTTAAATACCCAGTTGTGAAGTGTGACCAAAGTGTAAGTAGGAGTAGAAAGATATCCCTGTTATCTGCGTGTTTATGAGACAGAAAAAAAAAACCAGCAATCCTTCCATCATGCAAAACAGTATATAACATTTTAATATATTTTTAAGAGTTTATAGAGTAGTGTACTGTATATTTCAATAACAGAACAGAGGAAATCAGCTCTAATATACATTATTTAGGTATGCATATGGTCAAAGAGCCCGTTGTAAGTCTGAGTCATTGGTAAATGAGTATGTCACTAAAGCAAGGAGAGGCTGTATTATGTTTATGTCTAGTTACAAGCAGAAAGGGCAATGGCAAAAAACTCCTATAAAATAACTATCTTAATTATTTTTTAATTAATTTCTCCTATCTTCAAGAGTTCCTTTCTTAATGTGTCCTTGACCTTCCATTTTTATGATTCCTGTTACACTGTCATCCAAGCCCCAGTATAAAATGTTCACTCGAGATCTTCTGATGTGCAGACCAGAGTTATATTTAATAAACAATTCTGAACACACCTTTGTTCATGGAGTGTAGCCTGTATCTCTGCCAGACGTACAAGGGAAACGTGCCATCTTGAGCTCGGCAGATACCGCGTCATCACTAACTCCCAACAGAATGAGCTTCTTCAGACAATCTCTGTGCCTGAAAGTTTACAGTAACAAAAGATTAAAAATTCCAGAAGAAATTTTGTTAGCTATTGTAACTGCACATATTCATGTTTTGCTTAACATCTCCTTAGCTTTTTTTTTTTTTCATGATTAAGAAGTTCAAGTAATTGTTACAATATTTTAAATTTTATAAACAAAGCAAGAAACTCAGACTTTTGGGAGTGGATGTACAGTACAAAGAAAATTTTGAGGCAACCAAATTAGTGTATGATGCAGCGTAGAAATGGATAACCTTTCAGAGTGGGGGTGCCAAAATGAGGAGCTTAAAGCTCCAAGACAGGGAATGCAGAGGCAGGAATTGCCCTCCAGATTAGGGACAACACAGTTTACAGTGATTAATAGTTGGATTGCAAAACTTAAATCTAAGCATATTATTCCTTAAGTACAAATGCAGAAAGAATTGTAGCAATACACCAAATAGAGTAATTTTAATAAATTTAAATGCTAAGGTGACTGCATTATTGGAGAGCTTTGGCCACAATGCCTCTGCTCACCCAAATTTGAACACAAGAGCCTCATCTGTTGTCCAATTAGCCCTTTTAGTGGCCATCACATAGAACTACTGTATATCACTCAAGCCAGGGTCCCCTCACATAGTTCTACGGCTAATTCGACTAAAGGCTAGCTCTCTGGAAAGGATTAAAGTCATTGGTTGGGGGTCCACTGTGTGTGTGTGTGTGTGTGTGTGTGTGTGTGTGTGTGTGTGTGTGTGTGTGTGTGTGTGTGTGTGTGTGTGTGTGTGTGTGTGTGTGTATGTATGTATATGTATATGTATATATATATATATATATATATATATATATATATATATATATATATATATATATATATATATATATATATATATATATATATATTATATATATAGATGTGAAAAGTGGGTTATAATAAGCGTGTATGCACCTGGAGAACAGAGAAGTGTAGAGGAGAGAGAGAGATTTTGGGAAAATGTTGAGTGAATGCGTGGGGAGTTTTGAATCAAGTGTGAGAGTAATGGTGGTTGGGGATTTCAATGCTAAAGTGGGTAAAAATGTTATGGAGGAGTAGTAGGTAAATTTGGGGTGCCAGGGGTAAATGTAAATGGGGAGCCTTTAATTGAGCTAGGTGTAGAATGAAATTTGGTAATAAGTAATACATATTTTATGAAAAAGAGGATAAATAAATATACCAGGTATGATGTAGCACGTAATGAAAGTAGTTTATTAGAGTATGTATTGGGGGTTAAAAGGTTGATGGGATAGGCTCCGGATGTACTTGTTTATAGAGGGCAATTGATAAATCGGATCATTATTTAGTTGTAACTTTCAGTTAGAGTAAGAGGTAGATGGGAAAGAGGAGGTAGGTGGCAACAACAAGTCAGAGGGAGGTGAAAGTTGTATAAACTAAAGGGAGGAGGAATGTTGGGTGAGATATATGCGACTATTGGCCAGAAAGTGGGTAGTGCAAAGATGAGTAGTGGGGGGCGTGGGTTTGAAGAGGGTTGGACATAGTTTTAAATGCAGTATTAGATAGTGGGGCAGAAGTTTGTGTGGTTTTATAGGAGGGTGGGGCAGGAGGAAAGAGGAGTGTTTGGTGGAATGATGAAGTAAAGGGTGTGATAAAAGAGAATAAGGTAGCTTATGAGAGGTTTTTACAAAGCAGAGTGTTTTTATAAGAGAGCAGAGTATATGGAGAGTCAAAGATAGGTAAAGAGAGGGTGACGAGAGTGCAAAAGGAGAGCAGATGAAAGAGTGGGAGAGGCACTGACAAGAAATTTTATGAAAATAAGAAAAAAATTTGGAGGAAAGTGAGTTCAAACAAGTTAAGAAAGCCTTAGGGAAAGTATGGAATTTGTCACGTTAAAAACAGAGTTGGGGTGTTAGTAGATGGAGGAGATGGGAGAGGGGAGTATTAGGTATTGTTGAGATATTTTGAGGAACTTTAAATGTTGAGGGAAGAAGGGGAGGCGGTAATTCTCTCATGCAGTGTGGGCCAGGGAGGTATCCATCTTTTAGGAGTGAAGAAGAGCAGGAAGTAAGTGTGCTGTGGAGGTACGTGGAGGCATTACGTAGAATGACGGGGGGGTAAAGCAGCTGGAAATGATGGGATCAATGACAGAAAATGTTAAAAGCCAGGGGGGGATATAGTGTTGGAGTGGTTGGTACTTTGTTTAATAACATGTATGAAATGAGGAGGAAGGTACCTAGGGATTGGCGGAGAGACATGATCGTTACCTTTATATAAAGGAAAGGGGACAAAAGAGAATTGTAAAAATTTAGAGGAATAAGTTTACTGAGTACACCAGGAAAAATATACGGTATTAGGGTTATAATTGAAAAGAATTAGAGGTTAAGACGAATGTAGGATTGCGGGAATGAGCAGGGAGGCTTCAGAGTGGGTAGGGGATGTGTAGATTCAAAAGTGTTTACATTTGAAGCATACATTTGTGAACAGTATTTAGATAAGGTAGGAAGTTTTTATTCATTTATGGATTTAGAAAAGGCATAGATAGAGTGGATAGAGGAGCAATGTGGCCAGATGTTGCAAGTATATGGAATAGGGTGGTAAGTTACTAATGCTTGTAAAGAGCTTTTATGAGGATTGTGAGGCTCAGGTTTGGGTGTGTAGAAGAGAAGGAATACATTCCGGTAAATGCAGGTCTTAGACAGGGATGTGTAATGTCCAATGGTTGGTTAATATAGTTATAGATGGGGGTTGTAAAAGAAGTAAATGCTAGGGTATTCGGGAGAGGGGTGAGGATTAAAATTTGGGGTGTCAAATTTAAAAATGGGAAATGTACTGGTACATTTTGTGCTGATGAATACTGTGCTTTTGAGAGATTCTAAAGAAAAATTGCAAAGGTTAGGGATGTGTTTGAGGAATGTGTGTAAAGGTAGAAGTTGAAAGTGAACATAGAAAGAGTAAGGGATGAGGGTATCAATGTTTTAGATAAAGAAAATTGGATATCAAATTGGGGAGGAGGAAGGGAGTATGGAAGAAGTGATTGTTTTCGATATTTTGGGAGTTGACGTGTCGGAGGAGGGATTTACGAAGGATGAGGTTAATCATAGAATTGATGAGGGAAAAAAGGTGAGTGTGCTGACGGTTGAGGTTATGTGGAGTAAAAAAACTTTAATCTATGGAGGCAAAGAAGGGAATGTATGAAAGTATTGTAGTACAAACACTCTTATATGGATGTGAAGCTTGGGTGGTAAATGCAGCAGTGAGGAGAAGGTTGGAGGCAGTGGAGATGTCCTGTCTAAGGGCAATGTGTGGTGTAAATATTAAACAGAAAATTCGGAGTGTGGAAATTAGGAGAAGGTGTGGAGTTAATAAAAGCATTAGTCAGAGGGCAGAAGAGGGGTTGTTGAGGTGGTTTGGTCATTTAGAGAGAATGGATCAAAGTAGAATGACATGGAAAGCATATAAATCTGTAGAGGAGGAAGGAGGGGTAGGGGTCGTCCTCGAAAGGGTTGGAGAGAGGGGGTAAAGGAGGTTTTGTGGGCGAGGGGCTTGGACTTCCAGCAAGCGTGCATGAGCGTGTTAGATAGGAGTGAATGGAGACGAATGATACTTGGGACCTGACGATCTGTTGGAGTGTGAGCAGGGTAATATTTAGTGAAGGGATTCATGGAAACCGGTTATTTTCATATAGTCGGTCTTGAGTCCTGGAAATGGGAAGCACTTTAAAGGAGGGGTTTGGGATATTGGCAGTTTGGAGGGGTATGTTGTGTATCTTATACGTATATGCTTCTAAACTGTTGTATTCTGAGCACCTCTGCAAAAGCAGTGATAATGTGTGAGTGTGGCAAAAGTGTTGAATGATGATGAAAGTATTTTCTTTTTGGGGATTTTCTTTCTTTTTTGGGTCACCCTGCTTCGGTGGGAGACGGCCGACTTGTTGAAAAAAAAAAAAAAATATATATATATATCATAGGTAGTAGGTTGGTAGACAGCAACCGTCAAGGGAGGTACTACCGTGCTGCCAAGTGAGTGTAAAACAAAAGCCTGTAATTATTTTACATGATGGTAGGATTGCTGGTGTCCATTTTTCTGTCTCACAAACACGCAAGGTTTCAGGTACGTCTTGCTACTTCTATTTACACTTAGGTCACACTACACATACATGTACAAGCATATATACATGCACCCCGCTGGAGTTTCTTATATTTTCTTACTAGTTCTTGTTCTTGTTCTTGTTTATTTCCTCTTACCTCCATGGGGAAGTGGAATAGAATTCTTCCTCCGTAAGTCATGCGTGTTGTAAGAGGCGACTAAAATGCTGGGAGCAATGGGCTAGTAACCCCTTCTGTATATATTACTAAATGTAAAAGGAGAAACTTTCATGTTTCCTTTTGGGCCACCCCACCTCGGTGGGATACGGCCAGCGTATTAAAAAAAAAAAGAGAAAATATATATATATACATATTTTTCTTTTTAACAAATAGGCTGTCTCCCACCAAGGCAGGGCGACCCAAAAAGAAAGAAAATCCCCAAAAGGAAAATACTTTCATCATCATTCAACACTTTCACCTCACTCACACACAATCACTGTTTTTGTTCAGAATACAGCTTAGAAGCATATACGTAAAAAGATACACAACATATCCCTCCAAACTGCCAATATCCCAAACCCCTCCTTTAACCCTTTTGGTCGTACATATACGTCTTACGAGCTACCGTTTTTGACATACATACTCATAAATTCTAGCGGCTTCAAATCAAGCAGGAGAGAGCTGGTTGGCCCACATTTGAGAGAATGGGTCTGTGTGCACCATATAAAAAAATCCTGCAGCACGCAGTGCATAACGAGGAAAAAAAACTCCCAACCATTTTTTAATTAAAATGCCAACTCTGGGGTCTATTTTCATATAGTATTTATGGTTGTATTCTCGTTTTCTTGGTGTCATTTGATAAATGGAAAACATATTATAGAAATAGAGGTGATTTTGATTAGTTTTATTATGAAAAAGAACCTGAAATGGAGCTCAAAGT